GAGCCTATCTTGAAACTTTTATAATGACCCACATATACCCTATAACCAGGGTGCTCTGCATTTCTTTATCAATGAGATACAAACTGATATTTGAACTGGACACGTCATTTCATTAGAGTCTATCTGAGAAAAACAATCAAATGTATTACAATACATAAAAACTGAAAAATACAAAAGAAGCATTTGGTTAGACAAGTCACAGAATTTTATTCAAGTTTATCTGTTTTGCTCAATAATCTTTCACATTGTTTCCAGCACCACTAATATATATATATATATATAACTGTCATTATTTCTCTTTGGAGGGAACCATGTTTTTAAAAATCTGGGTTCGATTTCCATGATGCTTAACTCCAGGAAAGAAAAATCTTTTTTCCTTACCAAAAAGCAACACCTTAATCACAAGAGAAACAGAAGGAAAGACTGAGATATGTTTGCAGAAATGTATCTCCACTTGAAACTATTCATAATCCATAATTGTTCAGGGTGGTACTTTTACTTGAGGGCTCTATTTTGGGGAGGAGGTTATTTCTCATATTTGCTTAATACTAATAACCTGCCTTGCTGTATCACGAAGGGAAATAAATACTAGTTTGCAGACATAAAGCTGGTAGCTGAAAGCCCTCATCTAAACAAGTTAGTCTGCAGAACTGGAAAGCTAAAGTCTTTTCCTATTTCTTTCTTAAGTAACATTAGTCTATTAAGCTCAACAGACCATGTAAAAGATGAGTAACTAGTGGGTCTTAAATAGCTTTGAAGCTCGGATACTTTCTAGAAGGCTGAAAATCCCTGAGTAAACAATGCCTTACTGCCCCCCACCCCCACAAAAGGTGAGATGGAATGTAAAAGTGTAGGGAAACCTTTTGAATATCTTCTTTAAGTTTGTTTTTGGCGCTTTGGTTTGTAAGCAATCAAGATGGAGAGAGATGCTATCCCCAATAGGAATGTCTGTAGGAACCAGAGCAGCCGAGCTTGACCATCTGTGATGCCTTTATGCCTAAAAAGGAAAAATTTAAAAACACAATTTTTAATCTTATGGTTTCATGGGATTTATTGTCTTCTATTTTCTTTCTTTTAATTTATATGTTCTGTCTACTTTCACTGGGTTTATTTGCTGTTTTTCTCTGGCTTTTTTTTTTTGAGAGAGCCTCAAGCTATCCCCCTGGGCAGAGTGCCATGGCATCACGCTCACAGCAACCTCCAACTCCTGGGCTCAAGCGAGTCTCCTGCCTCAGCCTCCCAAGTAGCTGGGACTACAGGCGCCTACCACAACGCCCGGCCATTTTTTGGTTGCAGCCATCATTGTTGTTTGGCGGGCCTGGGCTGGGGATTCGAACCCGCCACCTTAGGTGTATGTGGCTGGCGCCTTAGCCGCTTGAGCCACAGGCGCCGAGCCTTTCTCTGGCTTCTTAATGGTTAGTTCATTTATTTTTCATCTTTCTTGTTTTCTAATAAATGCATTTCTGATGGTTCACTAAAAGAACCAGTCTGGCTTCTGTCCAGGGTACAGGATTCTAAATGTTTTTCATGTGACTCTGATAGGGTAAAAAGCACTGGCATGGCTTCAGAACAAGCATTTTTAACACTGACCAGATATAAATCCTAGTTATCTACCTACCAGCTATGACCTGGCAAAGTCACTTAGTATCTCTCAGAATCAGTTTTCGTGTCTTGTTGAAAAAACAGGACTAGTAGTGTATATCTCAACAAGTTTTTAAGATAACACAAAGTGCTAGGAAAGAACCTGACATATAGTAATAAGAACCATTCTGTTTATAGTCACTCTAATTGAAATTTCTAAAACAAAGCTCAAAAAAAAAAAAAAAGAGAGATCTAATTGAAGTGAATGGCTTTCTACAGTTTCATCTGTCACATTTGGATGATTTTTTACTTAAAACAAATTTTAAAAATATATGTAAAAATGATATGATTTTATACACTAACAGATTAAAGGAGAAAGACCATTGAACATCTTAATACATGCAACACATGTATACGCAACAGCTGGGTGCAGTGGTTCACACCTGTAAAGCCAGCACTCTGGAAGGCCACGGTGGGTGGACTGCCTAAGCTCATGAGTTCTAGACCAGCCTGAGCCAGAGTGAGACCTCCTCTCTAAAAAGAGCTGAGCATTGTGGTGGTTGCCTGTGGTCCCTGCTACTTGGGAGGCTGAGGCAAGAGAATGGTCTTAAGCCCAAGAGTTTGAGGCTGCTGTGAGCTGTGATGCCATAGCACTCTACTGAGGGTGACAAAGTCAGACTCTGTCTCAAAAAAGAAAAAAAAGGCATATGCAGAAGAAGCATTTTTTAAATTGCAATATAACAAATAATAATAATACCCTGCCTTAATAAAAGTTCACAGCAAACTTCAAAATATAATGGGACTTCCTCATTTTGAGGGAGAGTCACAAAACTTAAAAAATTTAGAAGAAGAGATCTATAACACTCTGGAATAAATATGATGCAAGAAGTTGAAAGCTTCCTCCGAGATTAATGTTTATTATCTTCACTTCTCGTCAGCACTGTACTGGAAGTAGTAGCCAGTGCAGTAAGGGAAGAAAGAAAAAAGGAATACAGAATTGAGAGGAGTTTTTGAAATAAAACTTTTTATTTCTAGAAAATAAAAAATATCTACAGATGAACTATTATAATTAATAAATGTATTTAGCAAGGTTGGTGTGTAAAAAAGGTCAATATATAAAAATGGACTACATTCACATATACTACCATCAACCAATTAGAAAACTTAAAAAACTTTATAATAGCACATGAACAGAGAAACCTCTGGAAATTAATCTCATGAAGAATGTGTAAGACCTCTTTAAAAATTATAGAATTTTACTGATATAAGAGGTCTAAATAACTGGAGATATAGACATAGAAAACTCAGTAATGGAAGTATGTCTATTCTTTCAAAATTAATTCATGGTCAATTCAATAGAAGTCCCAACAGGTTTATTTTTTTTTTTTTTTATAGCATATGATAATGTATAAGAATAAGCAAAAGTCTAGAAATTGGCAACCTTCTTGAACAATGAGGTGACAGCACATGCTTAACACATGTTAACGATTGTAAAGCTATTGCTATATGCTTAACAGATGTTAACAACTATGAAGCTGTGGCTATTAAGATAGTGTTGCATTGGTTCCGGAATAAACAGACCAATGGAACTGAACAGAGTTCAGAAACAGGGCCACACATATATGTAAGTATGCGTAAGACAGGGCACATCCATGGAGAGCGAACATCTCAATAAATAGCTCTGGGTTCACTGGGTTATCCATACGGAAAAGGTGAAGTTGGAAACCTTGTCCACGTCAGCTACAGGTACATTAAAGGCTTAAATGTGAACGACAAAATTCTAAAACTCTTAGAAGACTGTAAAAGATTATCTCAGCAATTTTAATATAAAGAAAAAAATTAATAAATTTGACTACATTGATAAACTTGTTTATAAAAAGACCCAACAGAGTAAAAAGACCATAAGAAAAGATATTTGCAAGGCATCTAAATGACAAAGTACTCCAAGTCAGAATAAAATGGTGTCGACAAGTGGTTAATAAAATAATAGACAATGCATTAGAAGAGTGTTGGTGAAGGTGAGGGGAAATGGGCACTGCTGTACTTGTGTTGGAAGTATAATTTAGTACCACAATTCTGAAGGCAATATGGCAATATATATAAAAATTTTAAAATATTCATTCTTTCATCTTCAGATTCCAGGTTTAGGAATTTATCCTAAGGGATTAAATGCCAAAGTGTGCCAAAGGTATGAAATTCACGTTCACTGTAGTATTACTGAGGATTGTGAAACACTAGAGACTTAGAAGTCCATTGGAAGGGGGGATTTCCATATAATAGAATATTATGATGAAGTTTAGATGTATAGACATGGAAAAACAGGCATATGTGAGCCCAGCATGGTGGCACCTGTGTAGACCTAGCTACTCAGGAAGCTAGGGCAGGAGGATCACTTAAGCAAAAGAAAGACTTCAAGTCCAGTTTGGGCAACATAGTAGGACCCTGTCTCTAACAAATAAAATAAAACGAATTTAACAATAGGCATATGTGACAACGAAAAAGTTATAGAAGAGCTTATATCTACATATATATATAATTGCTTGTAAATGCATACAATTATAATGATATACACTAAACTCTTAATAGTGACTATTTTGGGGATTATGGGAGACTTTCACTTTCAATTTTATAAGCTGAGTTGTTAGCACAACATGTATAATTTTTTTATTTTTTATTTATTTTTGAGACAGAGTCTCATTATGCCACCCTTGGTGGAGTGCTGTGGTATCACAGCTCACAGCAACATCAAACTCTTGGGCTTAAGCAATTCTTTCCCCTCAGCCTCCCAAGTAGCTGGGACTACAGGTACCTCCCTGGCTATTTATTTGTTGCAGTTGTCATTGTTGCTTGGCAGGCCCAGGCTGGGTTTGAACCCGCCAGCTCCAGTGTATGCAGCTGGCACCTTAACCGCTGAGCTACAGGTGATGAGCCCTGTATAATTTTTTTAATTTTTAGAGATAATATCTCTCTCTGTCACCCAGGCTAGAATGCACTGGCACAATCATGGCTCATTGCAGCTCAAACTCCTGGGTTCAAGCAATCCTTCCTCAGGCTCCTGAGTTGTTGGGACTACAGGTGTATGCCACTATATCTGTCTAATTTTTCTTTTTTATACAGACAGGCTCTTGCCGTTTGCCCAGGCTAGTCCTGAACTCTAGGCCTCAAGCAATCCTTATGTCTTGACCTCCTAGAGTGCTAGAATTATAGGCTTGATCTATCACACCTGACCTACATGTGTAACTTTTAACAACAAGTAAGTTTAGCTTTGAAGTGGGCAAAATAACAAAAATGTTTTGTTTTAAAAAAGGAATTTAGGGGCAGTGTTTGTGGCTCAGTGAGTAGGATGCCAGCCCCATATACCGAGGGTGGCGGGTTCAAACCTGACCCCAGCCAAACTGCAACAAAAAAATAGCCAGGGTTGTGGCGGGCACCTGTAGTTCCAGCTACTTGGGAGGCTGAGGCAAGAGAGTCGTGGAAGCCCAGGAGTTGGGAGGTTGCTATGAGCTATTTGACGCCACGAGGGCGATAAAGTGAGACTGTCTCTACAACAACAATAACAAAAAAAATGAATTTAGGCTTGGTGCTCATAGCTCAGCAGTTAGGATGCCAGCCATATACACGGAGGCAGGCAGGATTGAATGTGGTGGGGCCTGCTAAACAATGACAACTGCAACAACAACAACAACAAAAAATAGCTGGGCATTGGGGTGGGCACCTGTAGTCCCAGCTGGTTGGGAGGCTGAGGCAAGAGAATCGCTTAAGCCCAAGAGTTTGAGGTTGCTGTGAGCTGTGACACCATTGCACTCTACTGAGGGCAACATAGTGAGACTCTGTCTCAAAAAAAACAAAAAATAATTTAATATGTCCCTATTAAAATACCAACATCTTATTTTCAAGACCTGGAAAAAATGATTCTGCATTTTGTATGGAACCAGAAAAAAACTTGTATAGCTAAGGCAGTCCTTAGTAATAAAAACAAAGTTGGGGGCATCACCATACCAGATTTTAGGCTGTACTACAAGGCCATAGTGTTTAAGACAGCATCGTACTGGCACAAAAATAGAGACACAGACATTTGAAATCTAACAGAAAACCAGGAAATGAAACCAGCAACTTACAGCCACCTAATCTTCGATAAACCAAACAAGAACGTCCACTGGGGGAAAGACTCCCTATTCAATAAATGAAACGAATTAAATAAATTAAACATGTAAAAAACTGAAACTGGACCCACACCTCTCTCCACTCATAAAAATTGATTCAAGATGGATAATGGACTTAAATTTAAGGCATGAAAGAATAGGAAAGAATAGGAAAAACATTGGAAGATATCAGCCTGGGGAAAGACTTTATGAAGAAGACTGCCATGGCAAAAGCAACAACTGCAACAATAAACAAATGGGATTTAATTAAACT